AAAAAGCATACTTTAAAATGGCTATAACTCCTTAAATATTAACATTTCGGTGTTTTTAGCTATAATTTATAATGACTTTTTTAAAGAGGAAAAATAGCATACTCTAAAATGGCCATAACTCGGTAAATATTGACTTTTCGGTATTTTTAGCCATAATTTGTGATCACTATTATAAAGAAGGAAAATGGCATACTTTAAAATGGCCATAACTCCTTAAATATTGACATTTCGGGGTTTTTAGCTATAATTTGTGATCACTATTATAAAGAGGGAAAATGGCATACTTTAAAATGGCCATAACTCCTTAAATATTGACATTTCGGGGTTTTTAGCTATAATTTGTGATCACTTTTTGAAAGAGGAAAAATAGCATACTTTAAAATGGCCATAACTCCTTAAATATTGACATTTCGGGGTTTTTAGCTATAATTTGTGATCACTTTTTGAAAGAGGAAAAATAGCATAATTTAAATGACCATAACTCCTTAAATATTGACATTTCGGGGTTTTTAGCTATAATTTGTTATCACTTTTTGAAAGAGGAAAAATAGCATACTTTAAAATGGCCATAACTTCTTAAATATTGACATTTCGGGGTGTTTAGCTAAAATTTGTGATCACTTTTTGAAAGAAGAAAAATAGCATACTTTAAAATGGACATAACTCCTTAAATATTGACATTTTGCGGTTTTTAGCTATAAAAATAGCATACTTTAAAATGGCCATAACTTCTTAAATATTGACATTTCGGATTTTTTAGCTATAATTTGTGATCACTTTTTGAAAGAGGACAAATAGCATACTTTAAAATGGCCATAACTCCTTAAGTATTGACATTTCGGGGCTTTTAGCTATAATTTGGCCATAACTCCTTAAGTATTGACATTTCGGGGTTTTTAGCTATAATTTGTGATCACTTTTTGAAAAAGGAAAAATAGCATACTTTAAAATGGCCATAACTCCTTAAATATTGGCATTTCGGGGTTTTTAGCTGTAATTTGTGATCTCCTTTTGAAAGAGGAAAAATAGCATACTTTAAAATGGCCATAACTCCTTATATATTGACATTTCGGGGTTTTTAGCTATAATTTTGATCACTGTTTGAAAGAGGAAAATAGTATACTTTAAAATGGCCATAACTCCTTAAATATTGACATTTCGGGATTTTTAGCTATTATTTTGATCACTTTTTGAAAGAGGAAAATAGTATACTTTAAAATGGCCATAACTCCTTAAATATTGACATTTCGGGATTTTTAGCCATAATTTGTGATCACTTTTTGAAAGAGGAAAAAAAGCATACCTCAAAATGTCCATAACTCCTTAAATATTGACATTTCGGGGTTTTTAGCTATAATTTGTGATCACTTTTTGAAAAAGGAAAAAAGCATACTTTAAAATGGCTATAACTCCTTAAATATTAACATTTCGGGGTTTTTAGCTATAATTTATAATGACTTTTTGAAAGAGGAAAAATAGCATACTCTAAAATGGCCATAACTCGGTAAATATTGACTTTTCGGTGTTTTTAGCCATAATTTGTGATCACTATTATAAAGAAGGAAAATGGCATACTTTAAAATGGCCATAACTCCTTAAATATTGACATTTCGGGGTTTTTAGCTATAATTTGTTATCACTATTATAAAGAGGGAAAATGGCATACTTTAAAATGGCCATAACTCCTTAAATATTGACATTTCGGGGTTTTTAGCTATAATTTGTGATCACTTTTTGAAAGAGGAAAAATAGCATAATTTAAAATGGCCATAACTCCGGGGTTTTTAGCTATAATATGTGATCACTTTTTGAAAGTGGAAAAATAGCATACTTTAAAATGGCCATAACTCCTTAAATATTGACATTTCGGGGTTTTTAGCTATAATTTGTGATCTCCTTTTGAAAGAGGAAAAATAGCATACTTTAAAATTGTCGTAACTCCTTAAATATTGTCATTTCGGGATTTTTAGCTATATTTTGTGATCACTTTTTGAAGGAGGAAAAATAGCATACTTTAAAATGGCCATAACTCGGTAAATATTGACTTTTCGGGGTTTTTAGCCATAATTTGTGATCACTTTTTGAAAGAGGAAAAATAGCATACTTTAAAATGGCCATAACTCCGGGGTTTTTAGCTATAATTTGTGATCACTTTTTGAAAGTGGCATACTTTAAAATGGCCATAACTCCTTAAATATTGACATTTCGGGGTTTTTAGCTATAATTTGTGATCACTTTTTGAAAGAGGAAAAATAGCATACTTTAAAATGGTCATAACTCCTTAAATATTGTCATTTCGGGGGTTTTAGCTATATTTTGTGATCACTTTTTGAAAGAGGAAAAATAGCATACTTTAAAATGGACATAACTCCTTAAATATTGACATTTCGGGGTTTTTTAGCTATAATTTGTGATCACTTTTTGAAAGAGGAAAAATAGCATACTTTAAAATGGCCATAACTCCTTAAATATTGACATTTCGGGGTTTTTAGCTATAATTTGTGATCACTTTTTGAAAGAGGAAAAATAGCATACTTTAAATGGCCATAACTCCTTAAATATTGACATTTCGGGGTTTTTAGCTATAATTTGTGATCACTTTTTGAAAGAGGAAAAATAGCATACTTTAAAATGGCCATAACTTCTTAAATATTGACATTTCGGGGTGTTTAGCTATAATTTGTGATCACTTTTTGAAAGAAGAAAAATAGCATACTTTAAAATGGACATAACTCCTTAAATATTGACATTTCGGGATTTTTAGCTATTATTTTGATCACTTTTTGAAAGAGGAAAATAGTATACTTTAAAATGGCCATAACTCCTTAAATATTGACATTTCGGGATTTTTAGCCATAATTTGTGATCACTTTTTGAAAGAGGAAAAAAAGCATACCTCAAAATGGCCATAACTCCTTAAATATTGACATTTCGGGGTTTTTAGCTATAATTTGTGATCACTTTTTGAAAAATTAAAAAGCATACTTTAATATGGCTATAACTCTCTAAGTAGTGGCATTTCGTGGTTTATAGCTATAATTTGTGATCTCCTTTTGGAAGAGGAAAAATAGCATATCTTAAAATGGCCATAACTCCTTAAATATTGACATTTCGGGGTTTTTAGCTATATTTTGTGATCACTTTTTGAAAGAGGAAAAAAAGCTTACTTTAAAATGGCCATAACTCGGTAAATATTGGCATTTCGAGGTTTTTAGCTACAATTTGTGATCACTTTTTGAGAGAGGAAAAATGGCATACTTTAAAATGGCCATAACTCCTTAAATATTGACATTTCCGTGTTTTTAACTATAATTTGAGATCACTTTTTGAGACACGTACTTTAAAATGGCCATAACTCCTTAAATATTGACAATTCTGGGTTTTTAGCTATAATTTGTAATCACTTTATGAAGGAGGAAAAATAGCATACCTTAAAATGGCCATAACTCCTTAAATATTGACATTTCGGAGTTTTTAGTTTCTATTATATTTTTTATACAAAACAATACACACACACAAAATGTGTATATATTTTGATAGAATAAGGTCCTAAAAAGAAAAAAATTGTATTTAGGGGGTAGCTGTGTTCCACCTTCTGTAATTATGCCATGTTACTTACCATATTGGGTACAAGATTCCACTCAGGTTTGAGCTCAAGCCAGTATTATAAACCTTTTTTTGTCCTAGTTCGCTTACTTTTTTTACTGCCCCTACCTGCTTTATAAAAGGTTTTGCATTGTGTTCGGGATCTAATTACAAAGCTATCACCACAAACTTAAGGTGAGAATACATAAAAGGATTGACTGTCTTAAGTTATGGCGAGAGGTAATCTCTGTGGATGGGACGTTTTCATAGCAGGGTAGCCGCTAGGTGTAGCCTGTTTCTTGATAAGGAGATATTTATCTATATCAAAATGTTAAAGGTGAGTTCGAGATAAAATTTAGGGATATATAGTAGCTTTATACCTTGTTAGACATATTTCAGGTTCTTCATAACAAATAAACCCTATTTAGTTGGATTAAGACCGATATGATTTTTATACCCTCCACCATAGTATAGAGGGTATATTAAGTTTGTCCTTCCGTTTGAAACACCTCGAAATATACATTTTAGACCCCACAAAGTATATATATTCTTGATCAGCATAAAATTCTATGTCGATTAGCGATGTCCGTCCGTCTGTGGAAATCACTCTAGCTTCCGAACGAATTGAAGTAGATTGATAAAATTTTACTCAAATGTATGTTACTTCTGCTGGACTTTTGGTATTGAAAATGGACCTTGTAGGTCCACGTTTTGGCATAGTCCCCATATAACGGTACCTCCCCTTATTCCGTATTTTGATGATTTTAGCGACATTATTCACCGGAATTGTTTCAAATTTCGTATTTGATGTTCGTAATGGATGCTACAGCCTATGATAGGAGATTATCTGTGTAGGTCAACGTCTACGTATAGCCCCCTAAACGGCACCTCCCCATATTCGGTATTTTTAAGATTTTAACAGAATTTTTAACGGTTTTTATTGTTTTTGAGAATTGCTAAACTCGTTCCAAATGGTGGAGGGTATTCAAAGTTCGGCCCGGTCGAACTTACAGCTTTTTTACTTGTTCTACTTTATTTTGTCAACCGAAATGTCCCAGAATTGCAAGAACCACACCTCATCCGACGAACCATAGCCAGCATACTGACAGCGCTACTCGAGGACACACATTTGCAGTTTTCCGTTTTTCTAATAAAACCCCGGTTTATGCATACCCAGTTCTGCATTCCCCGTAATTTACCTTGTCAAATTTAACTTCATTGAAAGCCATCTTCCATTTCTGGTTTGTGTACTGACACGGGATTTATAAATAAGCATTTCGATAATTATATGCCAAAGATATAATTTTGAAAAAAAAAATTTGAAAACATATGATTTTACAAGGTTACCTTCTTAATTTTTTCATGCAAACACCATTCTCAATGGGAGATCAAAGCCAGTAATTCTTTTCTTTGGAAATATATTTTATTTATTTTTTTTTTTTCTTAAAATCAAGCTATTATACAATTAATACAAAAATTTCACTATTTTATAACAAAAACATATCTACACAATAACATTTAACTATTCGCAGCAATTACTTTGTTGACAACTGGACCTTTGGGAAAGGATGTGTTTCGATATATTCCAATGATCTCAAAATATAGTCGGGAATTGGAGGTGGTGTGGGTAAGTGTTCACCCTGTGGTTGATAACCATTCTCATCGGCCGTGTAAGTCAATTGGATGGGTTCACCTTCAGGTGAGGTATAGGAAAACTTTCCGGTTGCCGATTCAGCACCGATACCGTTTTCGCCATAATTAATGCCGTTCGAAGATTCATACTCAAATGTGTAACTACCATCTGGATTCACAACGTTGACATATTTTAAAGTTTCCGCAGTTTCATCGGCTGGGTTGGCTGGTGCAGAAAGACCCAAGGCCATGATAGATGATAATACAATGATCTGTAGAAAATAAAAGAAAATTATGAAATCCATATTAATTGATTTGAAATGAATTGGAAGATGAAAAATAAGAACTTACAAATTTCAACATTTTTTTTTGGTTGTTTGAGTTTTGAGGCTTATCGAGTTGCGATGTTTGTTTACTACTGACGATTTGTTGAATTTATAGCAAGGGTTTTATGGCGCCAGAATCTCACTGTTTTCGATTTGTTTCTATTTGGCTTTGTCGAGGGTTTTAACCAGTTATTTGTTTATTTTTGGATATCTTTTGACTATAGCAAAGCATTAATTTGTCATTTGTTCATGCGTTTTTGGTGATTTTTTTCCATTTTTTTAATTTTGACAGCTTCATTGACTTTGTTGTTGTCGTTGGAGTGAGTATTTTTATATGTAAATGCCTTTAATATGTGCGTTTGTGTGTTTAGTGGTCTAGTTCAAGCCACATTGGAAGTTAATCATCATTTGAAATATTCGTTTGCATCGTCACAATTATCTCTGGCGAAGAACGAATATTTGCCGGTTTTATGTTATGTGCAGAATGTTGATTAAATGGAAAAGATGAGACATTTGTTGCGATTTATTTAAGGTAAATTAAATAAGGAAATTGTATTGAAATTAGATGTTTGGAAAAAAATAATATCCATTAACTAGTATGTTTACATACATATTACTTCTTTGTTTCTGTCAAGATAAGAAACATGACTTTACTAGACAAGGATATTGAGTTTTTTGACAGTATAAACAAGTAAAAAAGCAGCTAGGTTTGGCCGGGCCGAACTTTTAATACCCTCCACCATTTTGAAGGATCTTGAATAATGTAAAAAAAAATTGTCGAAAAATACCGCTTGAATGAAAACCGTTATATGGGGGATATACGAAGACGTGGACTTGCATAAATATTTTTTTCATAGGCTGTAGTATCGATTTCGAACTTTAAATACGAAATTTGAAACAATTCCGGTGAAAAATGTTGCTAATATCATCAAAATACCGGATAAAGGGAGGTACCGTTATTTGTGGGCTATACGAAGACGTGGACCTGCATAATTATTTTTTTTCATAGGCTGTAGTATCGATTCCGAACTTAAGCTGGGAATACATAAAGCGCTTATTTGGCTGGCTTAAGTCATCGGCTGGCTTCTTCGGAAATGAACAAAGGAGCCTAGGGCCAAATTCGAACAACCTAAAACTCCTTTGTTCATCTACGAAGAAGCCAGCCGATGACTTTAGCCAGCCAAATATGCGCATTATGTATTTCCAGCCTTAAAATACGAAATTTGAAACAATTCAGGTGAAAAATGTTGCTAATATCATCAAAATACCAAATATTGGGATTTACCCTTATAAGGGGGATATACGATATCGTGGACCTATATAGACAATTCTCTTCCAGGTGGTAAAGTACTCGGAAGGAACTCTTTGTGTGGATTTTCAGACAATTATATTGAAAAACATGGCTACAATCATCGAAATACCGAATATCGGGAGGTACCGTTATGTGGGCTATGCGAAGACGTGGACCTGCTCAGTACTCAGAAGGAACTTATTGGATGATTTTCAGACAATAACATTGAAAAATGTGTCTAAAATCATAAAAATACCGAATAAGGGGGTACCGTTATATGGGGCCATACGATATTGTTGACCGATATAGCCCATCATCGAACTTGATCTGCCAGCACACAAATAACTGATCTGTGCAAAATTTCCTATTTTAATTCTGGGGTGATTACAACTGACGGACAATTTTACGCTGATAAAGAATACTTTGTTGGGTCTGAAATTATTATTTCGATGATATAAAAACGGAATGACGAACTTAATATACCCTCCATACCAAGAATACAGGTAGATGCATTAACGATAGAGAACATCGATATTTTTAAAATGATTTTTCAAAAATAAGTAGATTTTAATAAGTTTTCTTATACGACACCAATCGGAGGTTGTAATGATATGTATTTTTCAAAAACTTTTAGAAATTTAAAAAATGTTTCATTCAAAAAGTTCAATATAAAAATAGTTTTGACAATTCATTGTCCCAGCAGCTGAGTCGATGCGACTATCTACATTCTTCTGCCATGCTCTTTCTTTTCGAAGAAGTCAGCGGATGACCTAGGGTGAGAATACATAAAACGATTTTTTGACTGCCTTAGGTCATCGGCTGGCTTCTTCGGAAAAGAACACGGGAGCGCAAATCGAACTAAGTCAACCTAAAACTCCTTTGTTCCTCTACGAAGAAGCCAGCCGTTGACTTAAGCCAGTCAAAAAATAGTTTTATGTATTCTCACCCTAGGTCATCCGCTGACTTCTTCGAAAAAGAACAAATTCGTTTTAGGTTGACTTAGTTCAATTACAGCGTTTTATGTATTCTCACCTTTAAACCAGCAAAAAATACGTTTATATATTCTCACCTTAAACCTCCTTTAACTCAACAAAGACATAAGTAGCTTCAAGTCTTCGCATGACATATTTTGTGACATATTTTAAAGGGATACCAGAGCCGCACTTGAATCCTACTACCGTCGTTTTCCTTACAATTTGACATTAATATGTCTAGCCATGATGCCAAGCTGTTTATGTACCCCACCTTAAATTCATGTTTATGTAAAAAGCAAATATGTACTTCACCCGTCTATTTCAAAGAACAAAGGAGGTTTAGGTTGTCTTAGTTCCATTTAGTCCGTTGTTTAATCTTCTTCACTCAATGCTTTTTTGTTCTTTTTCGAAGAAGCCGACGAAAAAGCGTTTTATGTATCCTCACCTTTAAGGTGCAAGGTTATAAAGAGTTTTTACTGGCTTTTCGACACATACATTTACATGACGTATATACAGGTAATTTCCAGTTGAAATCAACTCGATTTAACAAGTCTAAACGTACTTGTAGTTTCCCAATTGGTCTGTTCCAAAACCAGTAATAATAATAATTTACTAGTTTTGCACGGTTGCCAGGGTCGATTAATACGAGCGGAGAGCGACCATCGGCTGTTTTGGTGGCCCACATCTTCACCATGGTCGGCGCTTGAGTTCTGGTGGGCAATCGAAGGTGCATATTTTCAGCTGACCTCTTTAGCAAGCACACACGATCATTTTGTTTGTTTACAAACTGCTGGACAACGAATGTTTCTCATCGGAGAAAACCAAATTCGGCAGTTCACCATTCGCGGTCAAGCGAAGTCTATTTTCTTTTTGTTGCGGTGTAAGTTCTTGCACTTTTTGGAATTTTAATGGCTTTATCTCGAGCTCATTTTTCATTATTTGTCGAATAGAATATTGCGATGTGTTTAGCTCACGAGTCATTTTTCGGCCACTGCGACGCGGTTTCGATCAAGTCGCCTCTTTTTTTCTGGAAAATTCTCACCAAAATGCTCTTGTACGCTTTTAAACAATATAATGAGATGTCATTGGAATAATTTTAACAGCTGTCCTATGAGTGGCTTAGAAATGACAGCAGTCTGAAGTTAGCTTGCAGTTTTTTCATCTCACCCTGTACTACATCATTTCATCAGTACAAATAAATTTATTAATTGTACTGAGGGAATTTACGAAAGATAAATAACAAAATCCAGCAAGAAAACAGCTTATTGGCAAAAAATATGATTAACTAACTAACCTAGTATTGTTGTTTTAGTATCGTAACAAAAAAGACGTTGAATTATTCAAAGAAAAACCATGAAATTAAACCAGATGCTCATACATATATGCTTATACGTATATACAGTTGAATATGTTTATACAAACAGACATATAAAGAAAATGTAGCGTGAATTCTAAAGTATCCGAGACAATTAACTGCGTTAGAATTAATATAAAATTTGTCAAAACGTATTTTATTGACCTGGCAAGTATTATTTGGTTGCTATATTTAAATTGCTAATTTTGTTTCAATGAATAAACTAATAAATCTCTACTTGACTTAAGAGGTATTCTTGATATGCAAATTCAAAATTTTGATTAAAAAAAAAACAGTAGCAAATTTATTTCAGCCATGAAAGTAAAAGTAAAATGAATTAATCAATGACTTCTCTCTTGATAACCATTCAGCAGAACTCAATAAATGACATTCGTTGGCTTGCGAAACGATAATTTATATTGAGTTTGATAATATCTGATATATTTATGATAATATCTTTGGCATCCATATATTTCGGAGAGAATCCTTTTATTTCATCCAAATTATAGTTACTAAGGACATTTAGATTATAGTATTTATGCTCGCTAGCATTTCTGCCTCTTTAAGTGAGAATACATAAAACGCTTTTTTGACTATTGTAAGTCATTGGCTGACTTCTTCGTAGAATCGCCGGTCATAAAGCAGAAGAGTTAGTCAATGCCTCTACTCTTCTACCGAATTCGATAAGAATCAATCATTAGAAGACACGTTTATCCTCAACTAAGCCCATATAAGGTCGATCAAAAAACCCATCTTGTTCGTTTGTTTTTTTGCTGTCAAAAAATCATAATTGTGATCTGAATGATTTAAAGAAAGTTAGATTACAAGTTTATTGGCATATTGTTGTCTAGAGTAGTCTTCTTGTAGACCTTCACAGACCACAGATGGAATACGATTTAAACACATCGAATCAAACGGCGCCCTGGGCTATTGAAAACAAATGGGCATTTTGCAATCCACTTTATTTAGTTGTGTTGCCTATTAACATTTATGGTGGTTTGACCAGCTAGGTCTCTCTATCAGACAATTTTCCATATAGAAGCTTGTGAGGCTGTATCATTTTTTTAAAGGAGATCACCTTCTAGATTCATGTCCACGACTAGACTAGTGCCCTATAATGTTTCGAATCATAAATCATATTTAAACAAATATAAAACTATGTTTTTAATGAGTCACGACCTATTAGCAAGTCCTACTAATTATAAGCCGAATAGCAATGAAATCAAAATTGTGTGTGTTTTTTATTTGTTTATAATCATTGAAAATAATATATTGTATATGTTTATTAATATATGTAAATTATAAAAAAGTCTTTAGTTGGATCAGCTACCCCAAATGTGGCCAATCTAAATACA